TGATACAGTAGGTGGAGACTCGATTCGCGTTAACCCCGCCCCCTAACTTTTTATTTAATGCTGTATTTATTTATTTAATTTTGGCACTTTTAATCCTCCATACGTTTGGACCTGTTTCTCTGGGGTTTTATTGTAAAAACACAAAATAAAAGCAGGTTCACCAGATTAGAGAAAGAAACTCATCTGTTTTTATTTTAGGCGTTCACAGGAGCGTTCAAAAGAGCTGAGCGTGTGACTCCTTCAAGGTCTGTGGTGAATATAGACTAGTGAGTGTTTTTAAAGCTTTGGGGTAACTAGCAGCGTCTGGGAATGCAGAGGCCATGTGTCGGTGGGTCAGTCCGTCCTCTTCATGCTATGGCCTATAATGAGAGGAGCAGAAGGATGAGATGATGGATACCAGAGAACTCCTGTCATGGTCAAGCCTTTTTAGTTTGATGCGTCTACCATGGTGCCATTATTTCCCATCTATCCATCTTTCGCTGTATTATTTTTCTTCGCCTAATCTCCAAAAATCTGATTGTACCAACTCCATTATTTAAACCAGGAAGCTACAGTTTAAAAGATGAAGCACTAATTCTTATCTGCCTTTAAGCCGTTCTTTAATTGCCTTAGTCGTGCATCTGAGTCGTGTTATAAAGTGTAAGAATAGCTGCTTGAAGTTTCCCCGTTGGTGATTTGCCTCTGAGGCAGCATCTCGGTGTGTATTTGTGTGTGACATCATGCTTTGTTAATAACACCGCTGTCTGTCACCTATTTCCAAGCTGTAAAAACAGTCCCATGCAGCCCTGAGCCACCTCTGTTACCAAATACAGCTATGAAACTTTCAAGATAAAAATCTCGGACCTATAAGGTGGAACCAGGTTGTGAAAAATACTGTTTTCTTTCTAAAACCATCCAGAGCTGATAAAGTCAAACTCTGTTTATCTGCAAACAGTGATGTATTTTATGCAATCAGATAGCTTTTTATGCTTTTTACACATTTTTCAATCAGTTGCTTGGCATGCAGATCTAGAAATAAGTGAAAATGTCTTAAATTAACTGTATTCACTCTTAATTTGAGCAGGTAAATAAGGTTGTTTGCAAATGGAATGAGTATTTTTAGTCTTAGAATAAGACAATTAGATAACATGCACTTAAAATAAGACTTTTATTTTAAGTGTTAGTTGTCTCGTTTCATTGGCAAAGTGTCTCACTTACCTCCTCAATTCAAGAAAAAATGCACTTATTTTTAGAAAAAAAATGACTTATGTAGATATAAATTTTTTGCAGTGTGCGGTGCGTCTCTATCACCCCTCCCTCCATCCAGGCTCCTTTTATTTTGCTTCAATCAGCCTCCACAGACACCTGTAGTCTGGAGTCTTTTTGATTCTTCAGTCCTTTTTGGTATTGCTCTGCTTTTTGTTTAATAAATTCCTTTTTTAAAGAAACTCTTGCTGAATTCTGGATCCGCCGCCGTGATTCATCACTAAATGTTTAGATTTCTTTGTAGAAGACAAGATTTTTCTTTTAAGTATTGTTTTATCTGTGTACCATACATTTGATATTTTATTTTATTTACTCATATTTTTCAGTTGAATGGACTCAGCGAAAAAATGCAGATAGGATTTTGCATTTTCGGTTTATAAAGCAGGCACTTTCATTTATGTATTTATCTTAATAAGTTTATAAATATAATAATAGTGTATTAATAATATTGATATTTATATATATATGTATATTTTTTTAAACAATGTGTTAAGTCCAGGTCAATAGGCTATGTTCATTTCAATATGTTTTGTTGAACATTTAACCATTTAACCCCTGGCTTGTAGCAAAAAAAATTTTTTTTTGCCCTTTTTTTTACTTTGCCATCCGTGATCTAGATGAGGAATGTTTCCTTGTAACTCCATAACTTCTAAATCTGCTGCTACAAAATGATCTCTTATCAGATTTTAAAACACGGAGTGAGACTCTTACACTTTTTTAAAAGTGCAGAGCTGGTTTAAGAGGAGCTAAACTTGCAAATTAAAGGTCTAGAACCTCTATTGACTAAACGTTACACAATGTTAGTTCAAGCGATTCTTTTTTGGAGGTATCAAAGTATGAGGGGTAAATGTAGCTTGCATTTACATTGAAATAAACACGCATCATTTCCCCTTTTATTTCTGTGGCTGAAATGATATGAATGTATTTTAATAGGAATTTTTTTCCAAGGCACTTTAACAACATTAAGAATTGTATTACCTCTCTGTTGCCTCCTTTTTGTGTTATTTAGACAGTTTGTCATCTAAGTCAGTCTGAGAGGAGTCCATATTTTGAAGCTTAGACACAAAGTTAAATCCGAATCGATTTTCAAAGCTGCAGTGGAAATAAAACCTGTAGATGGATTGCTGTTGATAAAATGGGAACGAGCAGAGAAGATCACTGAGCTCATATAAAGGGAATAATCTGTGCACTATTTCAAATAACAGTGTAATATAGACCTGGTGAAAATGTATTATATTTCATAGCTTCTTATGAACATTTGTTACATTTATACACAATGTTCCCCTTGTACTAAAGGAGGATTCAAAACTCTCACCTACAAGGCAAATAAAGGTTTTATTCAGCGGTGACCTCTGACCTCAGATGAAAACAGAGTAAGGCGTTAACAAAGTGGTTTTTAATGCTTTCTAATTCAGCTTTAAAAACCTTTCTATGTCCACTGGAAAGAATAGAAACTTAGAAAAGTCATTTTTATCTTAAAATAAGTGCATTTGTTCTTGGATTGAGGAGCTCAAAGAGACATTTTGCCAATGGAACAAGACAATTTACATTTAAAATAAGAAAACACTATTGCATTCTCTCATTTCAAGTGCTTTTTGTCTAATTATCTTATTTTAAGTGTAAAAATACTCATTCCATTGGCAAATTATCTAATTTACCTACTTAAAATAAGGATAAATACACTTAATTCAAGAAATTCTTACTTATTTCTAGATAAATTTTCCAGTGTGTCTACTGCCAACTTGCAGGAAAATGCTGTTTTCTTGCACGTAAAAAGGAAAGATTGTGCTTATTTTTACTCAACTTTATGCTTTTCTGTTTTGCGTTTTTCGCCGCAGGCCCTGAATAAGAAGGAGCACAGAGGCTGCGACAGCCCGGACAATGAGAGCACCTACGTCCTCACCCCGAGCACAGAGGAGAAATACAAAAAGATTAACGAGGACTTTGACAACATGATGAAAAGTCATAAAATAGTAAGCAATTCTGTTTGCCTATTAATTTTACATTTGGACAGAAGGACGGATGATTCTGTTTTAGATTTCTCTGAGTAGCTAATCCATTACACAACTGAAGAAATGTCCATGGATATCGTGGCCAAATAACCCCATGTTTTACTGATCTTATTAAATATTACAGTCTGAGCTGATGTGAAGATCGCTGTTCTTCTGCTTTCCCTCTAGTCCACAGGTCAGCCGCAGCAGCATTTCATGCAAGCAGCATTAGGCAGCTCAAACTATTGTCACGGTGCAGCCGGAGGAGGAGGAGGAGTGACTTCCCAGGTTCTGTCCGACAACGGGATCCTCTGCTCCCCTCACACACATCCTCAAAGGCACACAAACTCCTCACAAAGACCTCCCAGCACCGGAAACTCAGGTCTGTGTTTAAACTGGTGACATTAAAGTAATGGGAGGATTCAAATCAAGACATTTTTATGCAGACTGACACTAAGGGTCTGATCTTTAGAAGGGTTGTGAGTCTTCAATCGGTGCAAACTTCTTTCAAACAGTGCAGATTTTCAAAGAAAGTGCAAAATGACTTCCATATATGATTCAGCTGGTGCTAACCTGTTCTTTTACTCGTATGTTCAGATCATATTCTAACCACCAAACTGCTCTACTATATAGGCGGATAATATGCAAAGGCAATAATTTATCAATCGCAAAGCGATAGTTTAAATTAAAAAATGAATTTTTTTTCTCTCTCAATAATCCTTATTGTGTTCCGCATTTAAATCACAGTTCGATTTTATTGAACTATTAGGGACGACATTGTTTTGCAGTATGCAGGATGTGGTGGTGGAGGTCAATTTTTCAATCAAAGTTTTAGAAGAAGCCCCAAAAAAGCTATTTCTAATGAAGCAGGATGTTCTCAGAGCGCTGGGTCTTATGTTCATGGAAAGCTGAATGGAAAAAAAAAAACACCAGGAATATTCAAAAAGTGGATAATGTCACGATTTGGCTATGGTTAGTTGACCCAAAAGCAGAGGCAGGGAGGCAGAGGTGAATCTCTTGTGGATTAAATAATGAGTTTACAGAAAACAGAGGAAGGTTATCCAAAAAGAAAACAAAGTCCAAACAAACATGAATCCAGGAGTCCAGAAATCAAAACATAAAAACTAGTCTTAACGTACCAGAAACCATGGAGACATCAGGGGAATCACAATCATAAGGAGGAAGGCTCAGAGAGAAGGAGTTGGAGCATGTTTGACTGTGTTTGACGAGGACCCGGCAAAGAGGAACTGAAGAGAGAGGGCTTTTAAAGGAGACTGAGACAAAGAGAGGGCTAATGAAACTGGGAGCAGGTGTGCACAGAACAAGAGAGGGAAAGAGCTAGGGAAAAAAGGTGAACACAAGAGGGCAGCAGAGGGCAACAAATAGAAACCTGGAAGACTGGAAATAACAACAAAATAATAATTAAACTACTAAAACTATAAAACATGGAGAAAGGGAACCTGACAGATAAAGTTGTAGCTTCAAGTATCATTACAGACTTTTCGAGTGAGGGAATGGGATGTACCTTTAGTTTTACTATTTTCTGTTGGTTTTGTTTAATATTCTAACTGTCTAATCGGTTTTATTGGCTGTAAGCAAAAATCTTTTACCTGACTCTAACCCAGAGAATCCAGCTCTTTGGAGTCTAATCTCCTGTAAAAATGACCGTGGCTACTTCTCTGTGGAGGGGGGTGGAATAAGTATTTGATATTTTTAACTATATATTCATAAATAGTGGCGTTGGATGTAGGAGTTTGCCCTGAAATCGAAAGATTTACGGTTCAAGCCCCGACTCCGACTTTCAGTGTCCTTGGGCAAGACACTTCCCCTGCATTGTCTACTGATGGTGGTCAGAGGGCCCGGTGGCGCCAGTGTACGGCAGCCCCGCTTCTGTCAGTGAGCCCCAGGGCAGCTGTGGCTAAAATGTAGCTTGACAACATCAGTGTGTGCGTGAATGGGTGAATGAATTCAATGTAAAACGCTTTGGTCAAGTCTCCTGACTAGGCGCTATATAAGTACATGCCATTTACCATTTAATTTTTTTACTTTTTTTACTTTTGGTCAGAGCACTTTGAGATGGGCTACCTCTTTCAAGTGCACTTTATCATTGCTATTTTTTTTTTTTTATAATTACATTTTGTCTTTTTTTTTAACAGCCACCGTCAAACTGCCAAAAGCACATGCTGTTTTCTTATTTGGATAGGAAGGAATCGAACCAGTTTGATCGTCTTCACATTTGCACAAGCACTCTTTGCAGATGCCCCGCAACACGCCCACTAATTGATTGCGCCCTTAGTTTGGAACCTTTGAAGATCAGGGCTTAAATATTTATCCATACATGAATGGAATTACATTTTGAACATCAATACAAACTATGCTTGGAGCAAATATTTGAAACGTATTTTAAACAATCATTTGGAGAAAAGGCTATTTTGATAACAGACTGATTTTATTAGAGTGACCAGCTGTCACTTTGTGCACCTCAGAAGTGAAACATATGACTGAACTCGAAATTTCTCAAAAGAAATGAAAAGTTTCAAGGACAGAAAAACGTTTGGGGGGGGGGAAGATGTGCACTGGATAAGCAGAAGTCCTTAATAACTGTGTGTTTGTGTTTTTGCTCACCATCAGGTGGCCTGCAGGCCAGTTCAGATCTGGCTCTACACAACGGATCTGGAGCAGCTGGTACGGCTCTTAGAAACATGCTCTGACACATGCAGCTCTTTACACAAACACACACTTTGTTTTCTCATAGTCTGTTAAAGTCAATGTCTGTGAGGTTTGAGGCTGTTGGCTTTGGGTTCTGTCCTGTTGATGACATCATTAGTTCTCCACTTTGCAGTATCTCACATCTTAGCTCCAGGGTGGGACCTGTGAGTCAGTGTAAATAGTTTCTGCTTCAGTCTATCGCTCTAAAGTGAGTAATCAGGGTTTAGGCTGCGCTGAGCTCTACGGAAGAAGAAGAATCTGGCTGAATCGAAGCAAAACTGGGAAGCCGCCATTTTGTAATGTCAACATTAGTCGTCACTTGGCACAACTCTCTGCTCACATCATCATGCAGCTATGAGCTACAGACTATGCTACAGTAACACAGACTAGTGCTGCAAATCTAGCCTTGTCTGTAGAGTTCCCTGAAATATAGCGGCATGACTTTACAGCTTATAAACACATTTTATCTTCTATCAGCTTCTTAGTTAAACGAGAGAAGTCTGTAGATACCCTGGTGGATCCAATCAGGGAATCATGTGAACAACAAGGATCAATTGGGACTGCAGCTAAAAATTATTTTGCTAATTGATTAATCTGTCGATTATTTTTCAATTAATCGATTAATAATCAGATAGCCAAAGGTTCCTTCCTACTTTTCCACTTGAGGAGTTCTTAATAAAGCATATTGACAAGCAAAGATATATATTTTCCTTATCTTAAATGCAAAATGTTTATATATTTTTTCACAATATTGATAAATTTAGAGCTCTGAATCGGTTGCTCTGAAAGCTAAAAGCATATTTTACAGTCTCTATACTCAGTTAACATTTAATTGATTACCAAATTAGTTGACAATTATTTAAATAAGTAATAGATTAATCTGATTAATTGTTTCAGCCCTAATTTCAAAGTATCATGGCGTCACCTTGTTCTCCAAAGAGTCTAAGGTTAAAATAGAAGCTGCTGCTAATGCGGGTACATCAGGGCTTCCTTAAGAGGGAGCCGAGACCCAGAGGTTTTTTTTTAAATAATCATTGTTATTGGATCCCTGAGGTATATGGAGGGCCAAAATATATTATGAAATACATATTTGTGAATGTACATTGAAATAAGCAGATTTATTTAATTCATTCAAGTTTTTTTATTTATTTATCGAAAACATGATTTAAATAT